GCCTCATCGACTTCAAGCTCCGTGTATACACCACCTTGAATCAATCCCACACCATAGTCTTGTCAAAACCGCACAAGCCTCGGGCATGTGCACCACGTGTTTCCACGCCCAGAAGTCGGTCACCATTAGATCACGCTCCTACGTCGTCTTCACTAATTCCACCACCGTCTTCTGTGCCAACCGACTTGCGTCGATCCGTCAGACTGTTCAGCCCAACCTAGCCGAACTAGTCTGGCTGCATGACACGCTCGAGGCTCCCAAATCGTCTTTCGTGAATTTTCATCCATCACATGATAATTCCATCACCGCTGACATGACTTTCCGCAACGCCTTCAAACATCCCTGTTGTGTCAACAAATTTTTCACCCATATCTGCCATAACCCAAGGTTTTCAGTTTCGTTGAACTTCTCCACCTCAAACCTGATGCCCGATGATATCATGATTCTTTATATGACTGACGCCGTGAAAAATTATTCGAGCTTTTCTCTCACGTGATGCCCAAGTACACAACAAATCTGTACTAATAGCAAATTGCAACCAAAAACAACCTTCTGGTCTTCATATGTGTAGCTCCCTGGCTCAACAGCTGATGCAAACGAAGTACTACTTGGCTGTCAAAGCTCCTTGCTTTCCAACAGACGCGTATCGCTGGATGGACTTCTTTCGCCTGCCGATTGATCTGCCTTCCTATATCCGTGTCACATGAAGACTCGGTTGAGAGAGGATTTTCTACCATGCACGGGACCTCCGGTGCATGCATCCCTCATTTATTGTTGTGTGGGACCACTAACATCATTACAGTTTTGTATACACACTAAGTTTCATCCAAATAAATAGACACCTAATGTATGTTGAAGTAAAAGTTTGATTTACACTATGTTAGCACAATTGTATTTTTTGACAAGATTTTAAAAAACAAGACTAATATTGAATATATTTTTAGAATAGACAACTAAATCATCATGCTTCAAACTTGCTTGGTATAAATTTTCTAATTCCGTGCGAAAAAATTAAAAATATTTCATTCTATTTCGTAAAGAAAGTCTTACAGTTTCATTATGGCTCTTTTTTGCGTATTATATTACATTGTGTGATTCTTATTAATTTTACACTGTTTCACCATGTTTCAGAGCTTGAATTTTAGAATTGTTGAAATATATTCAAAAGTGATCTCGTATCAAAGTTCTCGTTGTCATAAATGCAAATATGCCAACAGGTCCTAAATTTTAACTTGGAAATAAAATAAAAAAGTATGGGGGTGGATCCTAGCCAGAACATAACAGAGTGCTGCCATGTGGCCAGAGAAAGATGTAACCAACTACCAGCGGTATCACGCTGTCAATGCATTGCATGACATCGAATCTCTAAATTAAATCAACTGCTCTCCCATGCGCCGGACATCCCGTGCATGGGAGAATTGCTTTTCTCAGACTCGGTCTCCCTTTTTTGGTCCAAACAAATCTCTTGTGTTGACGTTGCCACACGCACCAGCTAGCCCCGCCGGGCCAGCCCACACCGCGCGTCGCTTGCCTTGGCTTCAGCCGCGCCGCCTGTATGTTCGCCCGATGGATCAACATGATCAATCGCCGCACGTCTGCCGCTGTCGATGCTTTCGCCTCATATCCGTATCTCGTTGCGAATCAACATGTGGTTGAAATGTTTAGGTGGACAGTGGTATCCCCAACCACCAGGGTTTAAATTCTGGTGCTCGCATTATTCTTGTATTTATTTCAGGATTACCGGCGATGTGCTTTCAGTGGGAGGAGACGTTTCCGTCGACGACGAGGCGTCTACGGTGACTTCGTAAATCTCAAGATGATATGCCGGCTCAGTCTCTCAGAGGTGCTCATAGGGGTAGGGTGTGCGTGTGTGCGTTCATAGGGATGAGTGTATGCGCGTATATATGAGCGATTATGTCTGTACTGATGCTAAACAAAAAAATATCTGTATCTCGTTCAGATTACTGCTCGAAGATCACAGCACGACCAATCTTGCCTCGACGGTAACTCGCTGATGATATTCATCTCGATCGCTTCCCGCAGATTTATGTTGATGCATCTTCTTCCTCTAGATCAACTTTCCTATTTCTTTAAAACAGCCTAGCAATGATACCACTTGTTAGAATAAATTCAAGGCATACTATTGATCATCCAAGGACCAAGCAATTACACGAGCATGACATCGAGATTTGTTAATGAGGTTCACTAATATGGCTACATCCCCGGGGCCTGACTATGGGCGCTCCTCCCCATGACACCACTACAATGCCGCACGCGGTCACCCTGGACGCCAGCAAATGCCGCCGACTTCCCCTGCGTTTCTGTGCTATTATGTTGGCATAGGTTACAACGTGTGTCTAGCCCCGTTATATATGATAGACCTAGAATACAAATGTCCTAGTAAGACACGACTCCATATCGTATCTAAATACAATACAACTACAAGTCCAATTATAATCTACCTCGTATACTATATTCAACACAACTCCAATACATATTGCATGTCTTGGACCCATAGCTTTCGATTTCGATTTCGACACATCGTGCAGATGAGGCACGTCACCACGGCCACATCTAGGCGGCATTTGGATGGTACTGCCTAACAACAAGGACACTACTTCTTCCTTGACTCCGATCATCGTCCACCAAAACACCCACTAAAATGTTGGCGCGCCATGACAACATTTGAGCGAAGCCACACCCACAACCCCAAGGGTCAGCCTCCCTACAAACAGGCTACTCGCTATCCCACAAACTATCCACCCTAGATGGTAGGAATCCATCCGTGCAGAGGAGGCTTCCTATCCTCTGGCTTAGCTTTTCCTCAGTCACTTTAAATGAGAACCTTGCTAACCTAGTGAGATGCCCCATTCAAGACAACGTCATAGCGGTGCTTCCATACCGTCCACGCCACAAGGACCATGACTATCCAAGTATCTGTCGAGTGCCTCTGACCCGAATCAATCAAAGTACACCGGTCACTAGCTCAGAATCATGGTTGGGTATCCATTGAGGCCTTCCCCTGTGGCCAAGAATGTCCGCCCACACCTATCTTGCAAGCACGCATTCAAAGCATGTGATGGACTTGTGTCCGGTGCATGTTCACAAAAAGGGCATTCCGCCAGATGAGCCAGGCCTCGCCATTCTAATCTATCAACCGTCCAACACCGGTTTCTCATCACAAGCCGTGAGAACATCATGCACGAGGAGTGCTTGGGAACGCCAAATCTGAACCATGCCAGTGTTCTCCACCCGACAAGCAAAGGGTGCCCGGTAAGCGGAGAGAGAGTAGAGAAGTGGGCGTCGCTCTCCTATGCTCAGACTAGAGCGTCCATAACGCCCTGAAGAAGCTACACCTCGGTCAAGCTGATCCACCAGCCAAATGAATTCACTGAGCACCTCTCGTACATATTAGGCGTCACATCCGCCCACCACCTTCCGTTCAATACCTTGCACACAATGCGCTTTCGGATGGCCTTCTTCTTAACAAAAGCGAAGAGGTTGTGCACGATGTCTTCTAGCCTCCCCTTGCTCAACCACTAGTCCGTCCAGAAGAGCGCCGAGGCATCGTTCCCCAACCTACACCTAGTACCGGACTTGTAGACACTGTCGGAGCTACATGTGCTCCTGCAGCAGCGTTCCCCAACTTTGACAAAATATCTGAAGAAATTTTATTAAGAGGTGCTTAATTAGAAAAAAAATAGTGTATGGCCCCCTCAGAGATTGCTAGGGTTGCCTTTTGCCCCTCCAGCATTTCTTATCTAGCTCCGTCACTGCTTGTAGACCATGGCAGTTTGCATGATTTCCTCAAAACCAAGATGCGCCACTTCAATAAATGGCATTCTCGCGTTGTTTTCTTTCGATGATTGTCCTTGTCCCTCAAAACCCCGTCCCACTTACAGAAACCTCTCGAAACATGGAAATTTCTCGACACTGGTGACTAGAAGTTGCCCATACCTGTCGGCTTAAAATTGCACAAACTGAAGCTTTCCAAAATCTGACACTGGTTGAAACCTGCTAATGCAATCTCCGATTTGTTTTTCCCCCTCCTAACTTCTGAAACTAAACTAAACCGCTCCAGTTTGGAATGCATTTCAACGGTGCAGCGGCTACCACAACTTTTGGTTTGTGGTTTCTAATTCTGATCGATGCGGACAAACTGTAGATTTGGCAGTTTATTTTTGGGAGCTCTCAGCATGGCCACAACTTTCAGAAGTTCACGAGCACCGCACGCAGTATAGACCAGATGTTGCTGCTCTGTAGTAGGAAATGAAAATGAGTTCGTTTTGCATTTGGGCACATGCATGGCGCTGACAGGAAAGGCGAATCCAATAGTTCAAATGGCACAGCGTGTAGTCGACTATGTTCTCGCTGGAGATGTCAACAACAGAAATCAAGACAAACTGTAGCAATCATTGAAAGTGAGCATGGTCCTTCCATAAATTTGATAAATGAACACCATTAGGGACCTACACATGACATAAGAGTGGAATCTGCAAAGTCCAATCTTGTGTCACATCATTGCAGCAAACAACAGCATGAATACACGGAAATGAAAATCTTAGTGGCTGATCTATATATACCATGGAAGAGAGGAATGGAAATGAAAATAGATGGGTAAAAGATGAACCATATAGATGTAGATCTGGATCTACCATCAAAATGGTTAGAAGAGGAAAGCACGAATATTGGGCCGTTCTCCTGTCCATTTACAATCTTCATAAATATATATATTTGATCTTTCTGGGATATGTACGCACCACGACAACCAAAACCTCGCAAAAACTAAAAAGAATGCCAACTCTATACCATCTAACGCTCATACAAAGAATCAGAAGTTATGAATGAAATTTCTCCCATCTCGCTAGAAGGGAGCGAATACTAGACAACCATATGTAGCAACCGATACAAGATAGCAGCTTTCAAACTAAATATATATATCAAACTCGGGAAGAGCGAGCACCACCAAGCCAATCCAAACTGAGGGGGATCCTTATCTTCTAGCATTCACAGCCTGACGAGCGTTGTTGCCTTCCAGCACCGCCCATGTCGATTGTATCAGGGAGATATCTACAAGAATTTAGCAAAACGTCAATATAGCTGCTAACATACGGTTAGTGCATCTCCGTGTTGCTATTTTGGAATGCCCTCCCCTCCGAGGAAAATAATCGAGTAAGAATTATCCCTTTGTGTAAACAACGCATCTACTGCAAGAAGTAAACTTACATATCTTCTTCAGGTTCATTCTTGATAGCATTCCTTGCTATACACTCGAAAGCTGCTTCCACATTGAAGCCTTCTTTAGCAGACGTCTCAAAATAAGGGATGTTTCCCTTGGAAGCACACCAAGCTTTAGCCTTTTTCTCAGAAACCTGAAAGACAAGTGGTCTCAAAAATATCATAAAGTATATATATCAAGTGAAAGCAAGAAAAATAGGCACTTTGTCGCGAAGAATACTCACAGTCCTGCTGTTACCACCATCAACATCAATCTTGTTTCCAAGTAAAACAAAAGGGAAATTCTCTGGATCTGATGGGCTAGCCTGCAACAGGAATGACGGGCCAAACTTTCAATATACCATACATATTGCAGTACATTTGATCGACCGGCAACTAAGCAAGCTACTTACTTGAATTAGAAATTCCTCACGCCAGTTGTTGAGTTTTTCAAACGACTTGGTAACATTGACATCATATACAAGAACACAACAGTCAGCTCCCCGGTAAAACGCCACACCGAGACTCTGAAAACGTTCCTGTCCAGCCGTGTCCCATATCTAGGTTCCAGGAAAAACAAAAATGTGGTAAGATTAAATGAGAGTGGAACTATTGTTTCACAAGGAACAAAGTAGACAGATGTACATTCTAGTGTTCTCATAAAAATAATCAGGCTATAGATATACGTAATGATTAACTAGCTAGGGCAGTGAAGATTTGGGGTTAGTTCGCTTTTTTTGTCCCAATAACGCACGCAATCCACGCTTCTTTGCAATAGAAGAAGAAAGACACACAGCAGCAAGCACAACAAAAATGAAGGCTTCACAGCAACCAAAAACAAAATACACGCAAAAGCAGAACAGAAAAAAAAACTATAAGCAGCTAGGCCATTTGCACTAGCAAAATAACATCAACCATATTAAGCGTCCAGTGAATGCACACAGAGTTACTTCACTGAATTGTGCAAAATACATAATTTAAGTAATAAAATCATTGGACCGATATTAACGAAAACGTAACAGAATGTTCTTCGTATTTGTTTCCATCTTTTTTAAAGAGAGTACAATTATTTTCACTTGCAGTCAAGATTATTTAAGAATGTTGTTCATACTTCAGTTCATTTCATCTTAGAAAAGTATCTAATGTTATCAACTAGTAATCACAGCCATCAGAAAATTTGTAAATCAAGTAAAATAGCTAAAATCAAATCAAGCAGCATACCAAATACAAAGTTTGCTATTGTAAAAAAGTATCTAATGTTATCAAGTAATCACAGCCATCGGAAAATTTGTAAATCAAGTAAAATAGCTAGAATCAAATCAAGCAGCATACCAAATACAAAGTTTGCTATTGTATAACTAAAAAGACAGTGGACTCCAAAAAAAAATCATTTGTTTATGCTTATTCAAATAAACTACCCGGCGGGGATAAAAAGACAAATGTCTGAACCTCAGGTATAGGTATAAATGAATTGTTTGGCTATCCCATATGGTCATATCCTTGATTTAAATATGATGAATGAGAGATGGGCCATAGAGAACGCAGCTGAACAGGCTGTTTCATTGCTGTCCTGTTAAATAGAAAAGATGGCAGGGTCTCTGAACGTTCAATACTCTAGTCCAGATTTAAGAAAGTTGAGTGCCAGCGGATAACAGCTCAACAAAGTAGTTCATTCCCAGTCATAAAAATCTGGAAATTTCTTAGTCTTAACCAAAGCAAGCAAGTCGGTACATGGTCCATAAAGTTCGAGTAATGGTACCTATGTGTTAATCAATTTATGACAATCAGAGTACTGCAGTATTGGGACGCATCAATTATACTATATGTAACAGAGTAACAGAAAGAGACCCCAGAGTAAGATAAAAAAGGATAGGACCGATGGCTACAATATAAGTAATATTGCATAGCTTTTTAATAGTAACTCACATTAGTGAAGCCATAACTTAGCAAAAGTCATGTTTCCTCTGGACTTGGCCAGATTTTATTTTTCTTTGTTCATGCACATAGTGTTGGGCCACTGGAAGGTGTAAGACAGCTTTCTCTCTGTCTTAATGCACAGACATGCAATTCCCCTGCATTGTTTCTAATTATTATTTTTCCCTCTGAACTACGGTCTCAGTCCTCTAATCCTTGAGAAATTGTAATATAGAGGCAGTGCAAACCAAGTGGACAACTGAACTAGAGCTGAACTGATGTAATTTCTTATGACATAATGTGCCTTTCGATTGGGTAAGGTAAATCTACCCTAAAAACAATCCAACCATCTGTAACCGCATTAACCTATCCGATAAGCACCTACCAGCAGAACGTTTGCAAAAGTATATTCTTTCGAATTGGGTAAGGTAAATCTACCCTAAAAACAATCCAACCATCTGTAATTGCATTAACCTATCCGATAATCACCCACCAGCAGAACGTTTGCAAAAGTACATAACTCTATAATAAACCAAAAATGTCGCTTATGTTGACCTGAATAACTCAGGAACCAACCTTCTCAACCTGTCATAAACAAACTGCAGAGTACAAGGGTCCTAGTTTAGTAGTACTACCAGTAAACTTGATCATCATCGAACCTACTCAAGAATTCAGAACAGTAACCAGAGAATGGGAACTTTTCGGTTTCACGCAAGTGTCACATACTCACATCTCTAACAGCATAGAATCTGTTAGTGTTCTAATACACCCAGAGCTAATTGCCCAACAATAAAACTAGCACCAAGCACGTCAGTAGTAGATTGAATGAAGAACCTGTAGAGTGAAGAGGCGGTCGTCGATCTTGACCTCCTTGGTGAGGAAATCGGCGCCGATGGTGGCCTTGTACTGGTTGCTGAACTTGTTGTTGACGTACCTGCACAGGAACCAACCACCCAAATCGTTCAAACCCCCCGCACAGAAATAACCCGAATCAGACGAATCGGACAGGGAGAGATTGCCGTTCGGCCTTACTGGTTCATCAGCGACGTCTTCCCGACCCTGACGACGAACAAAAACAAAAGCGCAGGCAAGGGTGATCAGACAAGAGCGAAACATCACACCCGAAAGGAAATCCAAAACAAAAGTGGGGTGGAAGGCGTGAGTGATTGCCGCGCACGCACCCGCTGTCGCCGAGGATGATGACCTTGAGGAGCATTCGCCTGCGCGACGCCATGGCCGCGGATCTGGGGCGGAGGGCGGGGCTACGCGCGGGGCGGGGGGTAAGGGGGGAGCGGGTGCTGAGGAGGAGGAGGAGGTCGGAAGATTTTGCGCCGTGTGTTGGTCTGGTTTGCTTGGCTTTGCTTTGGGATTGGTGTGTGCGCGCCGTTGTAGCGGGAAAGGAGAAAGATCGGTTTTGTTGGAAGGCTTCGCCGCTCCGCCTCCACCTGTTTCGTTTGGGTGGACGCGTTGCCGGGCGGGCGAATTATTACTCCGTCAATTTTTTAGAGTAGCGACAGACAGACAGACAGCAGTATTGTTTTCATTATTTATTAATCGTCGATGATAATAAAAAATAAGATTGATTGGGACAGGCAGATTTTGTCCAACTGATGGCTCTGTGCTACCTACAAGTATGATAATTAAAAATTATTATTGTACACGGTTCATCCGCGTCTGAGTGGCACATATATGCATGTGCACACGGTGTCTTCAGTGCTGGAAAGAAGGGACTAATGTACTGCCGACTAGTAACTGTTGTCTCTTTCATACTGCACCTGCTACAGATTTTACGAAGAAAGTTAAGCCAGAATGAACGCAGGCAGGGGTCGTCTGGTCTGTGGCTAAGATTTTATTATTTTTATTTTTTTGAAACAAGGAAAATGGCTTGAATAAGAAGGTTTAAGAATCTTGGCCAAAGGCCAGGTAACAAGCATCACTCTCGCGGCATTATATTACATAAATATTTCGCCTCGACAAGGCACCACAATGAAGTTTTCGCTTTGATGTGAGTTGCAATCACCCCGACCGGAATCACGGTGCTGCGGAACACATGTGCATTTCGCTCGTTTCAGATTTCCCAAGAGATAAGAAGCATAAGGGAAAGAAGCGCCCTTCGAGATTGTGACCTCCCAGAAGCAATGTTGTGCCACCACTCCTTGATAGGAACCATGCCTCCCCAATTCATAGGATGGACATCATGTAAACCAAGCCATGTTTTGATCATTATCCAGACTCTAACTGGGTAACGACATTGGAAGAGAAGGTGAGTTATTGATTCCGACGTTTGTTTGCATAGCGGGCAAAGGTTACAGTTTGGCCAGCCCATGCGCTGAAGCCGGTCAGCCATCCATATCCTATTTGTTGATGGCCAACCAAGCAAAAAAATTGTATTTGGGAGGAGCCCAATTGTTCCACGCCAAAAGAGGCATATCCGAGGCTAAGATGGACACACCTAATGTTTGTTAGCTCAATAAGAACACCATTGAAACTCAACGGTCTTGCATAAACCGACCGGCACCTTTTGTCAACAGATTCTGAATGCTACTTGGTTTTATCTTGGAAAAAGTTTATCATGTTCATATCATATACGCTAGCTAACTGGAACGCAACCGCAGCTGCATGACTGCAGCAGACGTTGGGATGCTTCGGCTGCACCAAAAACAAATGAGAGGGGAAGCATACAGCCTGGTCCAACGAATCCATGCCTGCTGTATCTCCCTGGCTCTTCCCCTGAACTCAACAGCATCTCGTTAGCCAGTTAGCTTTCTTCCAAGCATGACACCAAAGTTCAGACGGCTGACAGCCAATGTATGATCATGCATCTACGGAAAGATGCAGTGCAAACGGAAGTAAAATTGCAGAGGAAGCACGTAAATGCGTCTAACAAAAGAACTATATATATATATATCTCAAGAACAAAATATCATTTTTGTTCGTTGCAACCAAGTCAGCTGGCAGCTTATGTGAATTCAGCTATGCTGTGGATTTACAAATGATGTCCTGAGGTTAACTCTCTCCAAGGAAAGGGAAAGTGGTCATCTCATGGAAGCCTGGCTCTCGACGTCGCCGTCGTCTCGCTTCGTACTAGTCCCCAACTCCACCTCCTGCGTCTGCTGATGGCCGTCGCTGCTCGGGACGGACGGGTTCTGGTGCTCCTGCTCGTGCTCGCCGCTGGACGGTGTTAGCTGGCTGCTCTGGAAGCTGCTGGTGCCGAGCGCCATCTTCCTGAACTTCTTCAGGTCCTCGTTGTACTGGCTGGTGTCATACTCGGAGCTGGCGTGCGATCCCATGAACCGGCTGTGGCCAGGCCGGACGCCTTCGTGCAGATCATCCAGCGACACGTCGCCTTCCAGGGCCCGAACAACCTGTTCGTCACAGAGGATCGAGGTTAGCTTAACTCCATCTAGCACACAATGGGGATGAGGTCGAAGTAAAGAGTGATGAATTTGTGTCGACGAGATAAGGATACAAGGGAAGAAGAGAAACAGGTGTAGAAATGTACCTGGCTCATGCGTGGGCGTCGCCGTGCAGAATGGCGTACACATGCGGCTGCGCAGGCGATCATCCTTGCCATCTCGTTATCATTGAAATCGATTCCCATGTGGGGATCCACTAAAGCATCGTGATTACCATCCTCGAGTGCTTGTGTCATCAAAGGCCTTGCCTGCAAGGAGAAAGAAAGGAAGAGGATCCAACTCAAATATAGATGTTACTAGAAAGGTACTCCGTATCGAAAACTTGAAGATGGTAAACTCTCTGACAAGAATAAATACAAAGGTCAAGGCAGCCCATTTTGTCGACGAATAGCAAGTAAAATATGAAGGAATAGATCCTATGGTTGTTACTTCAGAAGCCCAAGGCAGCCCTCAAGGATGATTGGAATTTAGTGACAAGATTAACTACAGTAAATCTTATCTAGGAATAGATCCCTTGCAGTATTTTTTAAGTTAAAACACCAAAAATTTACCACCAAGAAATACTCCTCTTCCAAAAAGACCCATAAATGAAAATGAGTAGAAAAAATACAACAATGACTAATTTGACCAGCACGGTGGACAACAAATTTAACTTACCCAGTCAACCAAGCTGTCATCCATATGCGCTTGCTTTGAACTTACAGGCCGGCGTCCAGTTATTAATTCAAGAAGCATTACTCCAAAAGAAAAGACATCTGATTTCTCAGTGAGCTTGCCAGAAGAAGCATACTCTGGTGCAAGGTACCTAAGGGGAAAACAAGACTATCAAGGAAGTAATTATCATACAGCAGATTGCACATTATGAGCTAGAACAATGTCGATCTCTTGCTATATATATCATCATGATTGATCTCATTTCAAGCATTTGAGATACTCTTTCACTGTCCCAGAAAGCAAAAGGATAGTTTCACTGGAAGATCGAACTTACCCAAATGTGCCCATTACTCTGGTGGAAACATGGGTGTTATTATCAGAGGTTAACTTTGCAAGTCCAAAATCTGCCACCTGTTAAAAAAAGGTTTACTTAGTGAATTACACATCTAACAGTTTGTATTAGTAGGCTGATATTAACTCTGTTTATGATGATTGGCTACACATCAATTTATCACAACTCTCAACCTTAGTTTCTAAATTTACTCATATCAACCAATGACATTCAGGATTTTACACTACACTAGCAACTAAACTTAGTTGGGACCAGGGGAAGAAAGACTCTCAGAATTCTCAGTAGAAATGAAACACAAAGGAAAATGGGTATCATGCCTTAGCTTCACATCTGTAATCCAGAAGAATATTTGATGCCTTTATGTCACGATGAATGATCTTTGGATGGCCTGCGAAGTACAGAAATAAAATCATGACAGAACAGCCACATATCTTTTTCAATGTGAAAAAGCAAAAGAAAAGCATAACAAGTAGGTATGTGTGTGTGAGCTCACAGTCTTCGTGAAGATAGGCCAATCCCTTCGCAGAACCCAAAGCAATACGTAGTCTTGAAGGCCAGTCCATAGTTGGTCCACGCCTTCCTGAAAAAGAGGTGAGAAATAACCTGAAGGCAATAACAAATGCTCAAGAGAATACAGACCAAATGAAGATAGCAGCTTTTTTGCATGACACGAGCTTCAGAGCAATGTTTTCTGAATCTTCAAGAAAAAGGTAACCAATAAACCTAGAAAGCGTTGCCCCTTTCGGGTGGTAGCAAAAACAAAGTTGTATCTTCCCAGTTTGACAAAATCAGGGAAAGTTATTAAAGACTAAAGAAAAGGTGGCGATAAAGCTGATATCTTCTGGAATGGATTTGGTTGTGATTATTATTACCATTAATGAAACTCTCTTGCAGTCATGGTATTTCATTTTCTGAACAATGCAACTGCTCAAATTGTCAATTTACTCGAACAAGGTCTCTTTTTCATAGCCAAGATAATAATTTAAATCATGTAGTACCACAGAATTAACTTTGTAAATCACCCCGATAATTACTAACCGACAACTCATACGGCAACTGATAACGATAAACTGGCAATAGCTAGGATATTCATGGGTACAAAATATGGAACCAAAAAATACAAAAGATGGCATAGTTCACTTTCTCGGACAAGATTAAAGAGCATTCTGAGAGAGAAGAAACAATCATGATTGAAACATAGTGAGAAAACATACCATGTAAATGGAATTCTAATGTGTTATTGGGAACAAACTCATAGACAAGCAACCTCTTGTCTTCAGAAATGCAATAACCAACCAACGTCACGAGATGTTTATGATGTACTCGGCTGATAATCTCAACCTCTGCCTGGAACTCACGCTCTCCCTGCCCACTTCCATCTCTCAATTGCTTAACGGCAACTTCTGTGCCATCTGGCAGCACTCCTTTGTGAACAAATCCAAAGCCACCTTGCCCGAGAAGATTAGCATCGGCGAATTCATTGGTCGCCACAGCCAACTCTTCATAAGTAAAAGTGCATTTCGAGAAGCTGAGGGCGTTGCCAAACGGTGATTGCAGGGGTCGATTCTCACCGCCGCCTGAGAAATGTGAACCCGAACCACTGCTGTTTACATTGACCGGAGGCGGCGGCTGTTTAGTGGAAGGATGTGAATTCATCTTCACAACATGATCAGGGGGTGGCGGAGGGGCATTATGCTGCCACCCATATTGATCCCCTGCAGAAGAACAAGAATCATAATTAAAGATGAGAGTGACTCGTGTTGAAAAATAATAATTACAAATGGATTCCCCTGTTACAAAATCTAATAAACAAGAAATGATTGCACGAAGTTTAAGAATAAAGTAGACACATTTACATTTCTGATACTAAGTTACTAACACACTTTGAAAAGGAGAACATACTTTCCCTCACAGATTTGCCTTGTACAAATCAGATTCCATGAAGAAGAATGAAAAAATATGCAGACCTAGTGGTTATTTTATCCTTTTCTCGAAATTGCCCGTTTGGATTATATCAAACAAAGATGAAGCTTCCTGTGATGACTACCCCATACTAAAATTAGCCATGCTAATATATTAATAAACATATAGGTTAAGACGTACTAATATATTTCTGACGGAAATTTTGATATTTTTATGTCCATAACGCCATAATAGCATGATTAAAAGAGGACCCATCTTGAAGGCACCAAAAAACTGGAACGTAAGTCATACTTGTACGTCACAAGCCAACGCACATTTGCCAAGAACAGCGGGATAATTGCAAGCGACAGCCATGTGCCTTGCTAGTGAGACAAAGAACGCACATGAGATCTGTATGGTACTGTATCTGCTCCGAGACAAAGAGTCATGGAGGGTGCACAGCTGCCATCTCACCTTTGAACGGCGGCGGGGGCGGCGGCGGCGGCGGGTGCCCGTAGTAGTGCAGGTGGTGGGGCGGCGGGGGAGGCGGAGGGTGGTGCGGGTGGTGCCGCCTCTTCTTCTTGAACATGCAGAAGCAGAGCAGGCTGGCGAGCAGCAGCGCGATCAGCCCGCCCACCGCGATCCCCGCCACCGTGGCCGTGTTGAGCGCTGAGCTCGTCGGCGGCGGCGGCGAGGCCTGGGCGGACGGCGTCGGACGATCGGTCGGCGGAGAAGGCGTGGTCGACGGGGGAGACGGCGCGGCGGGCACCCCGGGCGCCGTGGGAGGCGGGAGGGAGGGCGTCGCGGGGGTGGCACCCGGCGACGGGGGCGTCGCGGCGGGCGTCGACGGCGGTGGGAGTGGAGAAGAGGGCGGTGGCGCAGGCGGCGAAGGGGGCGTCGAGTTGGTAGCGGGCGGCGCGGAGGCCGGGGGCGGCGCTGTGCGGTTTCCCGGCGGCGAGGCCGGGCCCGGCGCGGCGGGCGGCGACGACATCAGAAGCCCGCCGCGTTAGACCAACTTCGCCGCTGGCTTACCCGCGTTGCTTCCTTGCGACGTACTACTGCTACTGCAGTAGCACTGCTCCTAGTGCTTGAGCGAGAAACGGAGGGAGCGGGGCGAAAGATAAGCGAAAAGGGAGGAAAGGTGCCGCTTTCCGCTCCGCCCGCGGTGGCGGTGGCGGTGGTGGTGGTGGTGGGGAATTCCGAGCGGGGATTGCGACCGGTGGCAGTACGTCGTACGTACGTAGCAGCACTAGTTGGCGGCGAGTGGAGTCTCTAATGGTGGGTGGGTGCGTGGAGGTGGAGGTGGAGCCCGGCGCGACGCGACGACGGCGGGAGGAAGGAGAGGGCCGGGGTGGGAGTGGAATAAAAGCGCGACGACAGCGCGGCCGTGGCCGGCACGTGCGACTACCTTCACGTCACGCGGCACGGCCCGCCCGCGCTTTCCGGTTCGCCCGCGAATGAGTTCACGAGAATCGCATTCCCCCCGTCGTGTCGAGCCCGCCGGTCGCTGGCCGGCGGGGCCAGGGCTCGGATGACCCCGCGTGTCGGTGAGGTAAGGAGTCCGGGTGGACCCCGCCTCGTCGGGCTTCCCTTGCCGCTCAAGATACTGATCGCGATTACGCGGCGGGATCACACGCGACGGTTACGCTGATGGCGAAGGCCGTTTGCTGGGATATGTGGGGCCGCTTTGTCAGTGGCCGGTTGGAGTGGGGGTTTCCTCCTTCCGGGCGACAGGTGTGCCTCGTGGCTCGAGGGAGAAGCCTCTGCAGCTGCATGTTAGCAGCATGACACGGTGGGCCGTGCAGCTCCCTGACGATGTCAAGTAGGAGAGCTGCAATGTCAAGTAGTGTCCTGAAAAATGGCAGCTTTCCCGCGAGAAAAAAATGGCAGCTTTCCTAAAGCAGTGCACGAATTGATTCGTATAAATGCTTGCAGTCAGATCCACGATAAAGCGTACCGTGCTTACCGCTTCTCTGAATTGCTGATCGATGATTCCACTGCACTCTTCTTAAGTAAGAAAATTGGTTGTGTCACCTTCCTTTCAGGTATTCCACGGAAGAAAAAAAAACACGTGACATGCGTGTAGCATGAATGCAGAAAACACGAGGTGGGTGTGAGCGAGGCGGGGTCGCTTCGCCGGTGGCAGACTCCGAGTCAACCAACCGTCAACGGCGGTGGTATGCGTGTTATTTTGGATTCGTCTGAAATAATCTGTTTCCCTAGGGTTGTACTAGTAAATAAGTACTGTAACGAGGGTGGAGATAATGCGCGGATCGACGGCCTTGTCTCTCACATCGACCATATCTAAAAAGCGTGACATGTCAACTTTTATCGACCCATACACACCTCGCATTTACTACGTTTCATTGCAATCGCTAGCCATCCACACCTCCTAATCTCTAGTTATATCGACTACGACCACAATCTGTTCCGTACATTTTTCGTTTGCGGCAAAACGCAAGTATACCTTTAGCAGACGTATAACCAATTTTTGAATAGCTCATTCCTCAAAAGAAAAATGGATGACTTTGATCTCAAAAGGAAACCTTTGGGTCTTCGAGGCTATGATTTTTTTCTAAATTTTTGACACATTCTTTGCTACAGATTGCTAAAGATTATTCTTTCAAGAATTTCCCATTTTAGTTTAGAAAAAAAAAATAAACATTGGAGCACAGCTTCACTCAACACTAGCCCAATGAATGCCTATGTCTAATCTTTTTTTTTTTTGAAAAGGAGGTCATCCCCGGCCTCTGCATCGGAGAGATGCATGCAGCCACTTTAGCCTATGCTAATCTAGATGGAGGGGCGCTTAGCAATCTCTTCCAACTTTGATAGGCGGAGAGGACGCCATCGCGGGATGTAGGTGGAGCTCCTCTCGAGTCTGGAGCTCCCGGGAGTAGCCCCCTTAACATCCAGACAACATGGATCGGTGTGGGCTGAAAGATTTCATTAAACAGTACATTGGTCGTCTCTTCAACTTGAGATCTTCTGGTTCTGATGACATATTAAGAATGGCAGACAATATATTTTAACACATGGACATCATTTTTAGCCTCTGGGAGCATCTGGAGACACCACAACGACATTGCCTTCAATATTGTCTTAGTCTCGATATATGTGATCAACGATGAAATCAGGACTTAAGAAGATCGGTGGAGTCCGGCAAGGCGGCATTTTGTCCAGTGTGTTGCAGTGGCGGTGCCGAAGTCAATTCTTGTAGATGTAGGGGTCGACCTTTTGTCTATGAAATTAATGTATATCTCAATGACGCGTATTATAAACAATATTGGAGAGGGAAAGGTGATTAAATCATGTAAATTATGATAAAGTGATACGCAGGCACACTCACCCTATTCATATGAGCATCTTTAAGAGATTGGGCGAGTAAATCTTGAGATTAATTAACTGATCACTGCGGGTGCCTCGTAGTCAAAAAACATCATAAGCCTAGAAAAATGCAAGCATTAGAGCAAAATCTAAGACTTGAACCCAAATGGGTTGATTCCACCACAAGGATTCTCGCTATCTTAACACTTAGTTAGCCCACATGTGTAACCTTTTGTGATATATAAATATACACGTGCCAGTCGAAGCTATGCCGATAAACCCTAATTGATCCAATCTAACATTTGATCAAACTGTGGGATGCGAGAACAAATGTCGGGTAAAGGGAGAGAAAGAACAAAAAAGAAAAACTTGAACTCGATGGGCCAGCACTCCCTAGCATGCTTTCTCATTTCTTCCTTTTTTCTTAATCCAAAGTGGCCTAAAGTAGGGGCGCATGATTGGTACATGATCGGTCATTCAAAGATGATGCCGATGGAGCTTGACTTTCACATTGCGAGTGATTTAACCGATCTTGATATTTTTCTGCATTGATGCCTTGATCTTTACTCATGATCTCGATCGAGCTGAAGCCGATGGGTGTGCAAGCAAGGCCATGCATTCCATTCCATCGCACCAGTCAGGATACGTTGCATGACGTGCACTAAACTGCAAACATGCATGTATAGATCGGGTGGCTAATCGACCAACAACAAGTGCGCAGGTCTGGTCCTTTGCTTTCAAAGCACCGTACACACAAGACCATCTACGCTCCATAATGTAGTGGCTATAAACTTTTTTGAAAAGTCAGATTTTACCAAATTTTAACGAAATTTATAGAGAAAAATATTTTCATTAACAATACCAAATATATACTCCCTATGTTCCTTTTTACTCCGCGTATTAGATTTATGTCAAGTCAAACATTACAAAGTTTGACCAAATATATATTAAAAAATATCAACATATAAAATACTAAATATATATTCCATGAAACTACATTTCGTGATGAATCTAAAAATATTGATTTGGCATTGTTCTTTGACTTTGGACAAAACTTATATGGAGACTAAAAAGGACCGGACGGAGTACAATGTGTAAGTGTCTCACGGCGTACCTAATGATATCTACTCCCTCTGTTCCACAATACTTGTCATGGTTTTAGTTTAGTATAAGACGTTTTTATAGGCTGTAAAAATGTCTTATATTTTGATACAAAGGGAGTATTTGGTATTTTTCAATATAGATATTTTCCTCTAAAATTTTGATCAAAGTTTATTAAATTTGACTCTTCTATACATACATGTCTGTTAGTGTCAACTCCAGAATAAGGTGAATGTTACAAAAATGAGTAGTAAAATTATATATGATCTGTTTTTTAGATAAATATATGTTTTGCTGTGATTTACGAATGCCCCAGATTTGCATCCGGCCTCTCGGAAAGAACCGTGCCAAGGCACAAGGCCCATTCTGGAGTTGTTACCCTGGCTTCATATGTTTTAGAGAAAAAGGTCTCAGTTAAGATCGTCAAAACAATTATAGCTAATCATAATTTAAATGGTTAGGTTTTTTACGCTAAAACCAGTATAAACGTGATCAAATCCTAGACTTGTCACTTGTCGGGCCAGCCTCTCGGAATAATCATAGAGATAGAGTGAGTATGCATGCGTGTTGACTTTGGTGGCGAAAGGATAACGAAACCATAATCAGAAAACAATTCATTAATCTTTTTGCGAAGGATTATTCTCGTTTACTTCCCAAGAATAATGGCCTCACCAGGCAATATGACACCTAATCCACAATCGTAACCTCGTTGGTAGCATCATTACCCCCGCTGTTGTGCAAGTTGTTCGATTCCCTACAACGATTCGTGATTCTTTTGAAACATGCCTTTTTTTTATTTTCTTTTAGAAGCAGCTAGTATCTGTTAGAACAGGCGAATTCTGATGACTCCTATCCTTTTGCGAAAACTCTTTTCGACAAAGGACAATAAAAAAGAATTGAAAGAGAAGGCAAATCATGATCTGCCTTATGCATTCACAAAGGACAATATATATTAGCATCATCGATTACATCCGGTATTTGCAACGACATAATATCAACAACTAGCCGCATGAGCCCTGCCCTTAAACGCGGTTCGCCGAAGGGAGAGAAAACAAACATTGCAAAGAGCAACTCGATCTACATTCCACAACCAATTATGTGAAGGTGATATACATAAAGTAAGAGTAATGCTACATGTACAAACGAGTTACAAGCTTTTATAAAGAGGCCCCCATGAAAATCAGGAGGGGACAAGTTTGTGATTGGTTAGTAGATGGAAAAAATTCTAGTCAGCGTGTAATTGCGTGTAGCTCTTTGTATGTTTAGCATTATTGCATAAAGTAGAGAGGCAGAGGAGGTGCTAGGATTTTGTTCGCCTTCCTTCCTGTCGTCTGATGTATGGTGGCCGTTGCTTTCGCGATGCCCACATGATCCACCGATGCACAATTGCACATGCACGCGAGTGGCCGCTAGTGGCCCATCCCCGTCGCACAACCACGCAACGCAAACCTTTTCGGATTTTTGTGCGTATCTCGTCCCGGCCGGTTCTCATGCCTGCACATGTCCATATCCTCGCCTGCCGCCCGCCCGCGCATATTCCTCATGCCCACGTTGCTTTCCGATCAGAGGCTTGGAGTAGCCGCCGGTAGGGAGAAGAGCGATCAGATCGTGTGCTCGTAGCCTCTCGTCGGAAGAAGAAAAAACAGTGAGCACAGCGGCATCTTTTTCTCAACCAGTGAACACAGTGAAAGAAGAAAAAACAGTGAACACAGTGGGATTTTTCCTCAAGACATGCACATCATTCTGCAATAATGTTCTACTCGGGGCTTAGTGCGCCGATGTTACGACAGTTCTCCGTGAATGAAACATCCACGGCTCCGACGGACGTGGACTGGGCGGTGGAGTTGAGTCCCGATGCTGGTGTGGTGCGCTCTGTTGTTTGGTCATCCTTCCAACCCTAAAGCCAAAAGAGAGAAGAAAAGAAATCCATTGACCTAAGGCTCGACGGCCACTGTTGAGGATAAAGGGCAGCGGGGCTGGCTGTCCTGCCCTTGTCTTCCACCAGTGGCGTGTCGATTTAGTGGCAATGTCGACTCCCGAAGGGAATTACCACAACGGGGAAAAGCAAAGCAAAAGTGCAGAACTAGCCGAAATATTCGCAGGCCTTCGGTTTTGAGTTTTGTTTCTATATGTAGTGTGTGCTTTTAGATGGGTCATTTGAAACATACGGATTGGACTTGCTGTTAAACTCCACTAATCATCACATAGTTCCTAGTAATTTGGTGATGACGGCCTGTTATTTTGCACAGGGGCGGAAAGGGGGAGGCGATGATGGCGGAAGTATGCCAAACTGCATGGATAAAATATCAGTTCAGATCAACTGCATTTCTCCTGGTGTTACTGCAATACTATCTTGTTACTAGCAGGCACAAGGCGCGGCATGGCCGCGCCCATCGTTGAACCAATGCGTTTGTGTGCGTTGTTTTTTGATATTGAGGTCGAGCGGGTTGCAAAGAGGCAGCATCGGTAGAGTATTACAGGAGCATAGTAGCGGTGACAGCCCTGTGTACTATGCATAGTGATCAGTGCATAATGCTCATGCTAAAGTAGGAAGCGTCGCTTGAGTGCTAGCTTGTTCAAGGGTTGTTGTGCCTGATGAAAACTGTTATGCTTGTCTCCACTGATGAAAACACTCGTGGATTGCATAGCTCAAGAGGTAGCTTGCTGATTCTGAGATGGAGGAGAACTCTGAACTGATGAGCATGGTATTACTGCTATAGCTAATTCAGCTGACTGAGTTATGGTGTAGCAGATGGAGGAGAACTCTGAACTGAGGAGCATGTTAACAGTTCCATATGAGCTGGGTGACGACGGCTCGGGATTGTTGACAGCAAAAAGCTGGAGTCAGTCAGTTTCTGAACTTCAACCCGCAGGAAACCTATGTTTGTAAGAAGTTTTTTTGGCATTCTTTTGAACCATCAGAGAAGATCCTGGCCGTGGAAGGAGTATTGCCATGTTTGAGAGCCCGTTGATAAGGACGTCATTCAAAATGGCATGAGAGATGAAGCATTCAGCGGGCTCCTCTCCTCGTGCTGTTGCATCATACTGTAGGTTTTTGAGTGTCAAAATCACTGCACTGCACTTATACTGTATATCCACTGAAGAATGCGGCTGCCTCTTGGCCATCATATATATAAAGGCCATCATATATATAAAGGCATTGGCAGCCTTGTCGCGTGCTTTCACAATTATATCAGCTGGAAGAAGAATGTTGCGTTAGGTGTGAGCTATGCAAGTAAAAGTTGTCAAGTCCTCCATTCAACATATATATATTGAAAGGGTGCTAAAAGTATGCAGGAAACATGTATGGGAAAGTCTATTAGAGCATTTTTGGGTCTATATATTCAGTAGTGCAGTATAGTTTGATCAAGCCAGAATGATGACATGGATGCTATTGTTGCAAAGAAGAAGAAAATAAAAAAGGAAAGGGTTAAGAACTTTCTATTGCCTTGTAGATATGTGCGTGGTCTTTCTTATCTGGTCCGAAGATTGTATATTGTTGCTCACAATCTTAGAACTGTATGGAAAAAAAGGCATACGCAGTGTCGGTATGAGCTAATTATCTACAGCCATCGACATGAAAGGGGAACAACAAGTATGAGGAAAGATGAAAGAAAATGCGGAAGCAAAGAAGATCTGCAGCAAGCAGCTTGAAAGTTCAGGACCAAATAAAGTAGACAGGCAAATTATGCTCACAGTTAACAAATGCATGCAGTCAAAAATCTGAGAAATTGATACCTTTGATCCGTTGCAGTGTCGATGACGCCTGGTTCATAGTAGGTACCGATGGAAGTGTTAAAAAGATCTGACCTTCTTTTTACAAATATTGCTATTTTGTTGAAGAGTGCATAATTGAATAAAAGCTGATTATTTATATTTCATAGAGAAGAAAAGAAAATAATAAGAAATTTTAATTATAGGCGGCGCCTTGTGATTCTTCTCTCAATAGTTTCTACAGATAAGCTGAAATTTTAATTATAATTTGAGGAACTAAAATCATGGTATATGTATGAATAGTAGCTGAGTAGAATGTTGCCCGGTTAACAATTTTATAAGCCCAAGGAATCAGAAAATTTAGCAGTAGGTACCTTCGCTATAGCAGAGATTACATGGTGTTGCCGGAAGGTATGCATATCACATCTTCTGCATCTTGTCCCTACATTTACATATACGAAATATGTAAATCCTTCTATAAACTTTAAAGTGAATCTGGCTCGCCCATGTCTGATTTGTTCATGTAGCAGCTGCTACAGGGATATCATACTGCAGCAGGAGTTGCAGACCAAACCATGGGGATTGCAGTTAAATTGTCGGACCTTTAGACAGTCATAGGCGGTGAGCACGAGGGCCGGTGCAGTCCGGTTTTGGGTGAGCTTCCTGTGAGAAGGGCTCGCCATACTGCTAAGAGCAATGTAAAACTTTCTGTAAGATTCACAACCATTATTGTGGTTAATTTGTAGGGGTAAAATACGGACTTTATGGAAAGGAAACAATTGGATATGCCATTTTTGTCGTGAGATATTTCAGTGATTACGATATTTATAGTAAAATAACTCTCTGCATGTCCTTTCTCCCCCTTTCCCATAGTTTTAATCATGCCACGTGCTTCCTTGAGTGACAAGATGAAGTTTACATTACGGTCGAGACATGTGCCTATTTTAATGCTTATTAGGATCTGTTTTCGCCCTACACCTTTTTGTTAGGTTGATTAAGGTCAGTTTCCATCGTACGATGTTGTGGTATGCATTGGAGTGGTATGTGCGTAATGCTGCACTTTTTTTTTTCTAGGAATGCCCATCATAGCTCTCTTTATTGATATCAAATAATAATTACATTCTTATGAAACTACATCAAAGAAAGTTGGGGTTCATCAATCCAATCATAATGATTTTACATTATAAATATAAAATATAGCCAACTCTTGCATCATACATTCGCTTCTCTTCAATAGGTGCTTCAATTTGACGTTCCCATTTGATCTTCAAAACTTAAGCCCACTTGGAATCACAGTGGTAGATGAAAAGGTGGAATGCGGGAAGAGAAATTTTAGTGCTTGTTGTGCTCGAGGCCTGTTTTGCCTTTTGCCGGTAGCAACGCATAGGCATTGTCCTAATAAAAATTAGTGTGATAGATATAAGCACCACATGCATTTTTTGTTAGTAATCATTTTGTGATGTGCACCACATTGTAAACAGTGTGTAACAATACAACATGTGTGATAGGACTTTCAACACACACATTTTTTTCATCCAAACTGTCTGTAACATTGGACGCATCACAAACATGGTGCCACAGTGTAGGCTGTGTGATAGGCCCGCCATCCTAAACATTCAGTCCGAATGAATCGTGTCAAACCTTTGACAGGTCGCATATGATTTCTTCTCTCGTCGCATGTGGGATAGATTAGCTAAATGCAAATGATTCGTTCCCTCATCGTAAACGTTTGCTTTCGAAAAACTGTCTACGGCCTAGCAAGCTATCACACACATTTTTATCTATATCGTGTGCGATAAACACCCCTATCGCACACCATCACAAGGCGCCGGTTCGTGGCTGTGTGTGCGATGAGGTCTTTTTACCTTATGCAATACCCTTAACTGCACTAGTGTCACTTGCAAACATAACAAGGCAGAGTTTGACCAAGTCTATAGACTACAAGCAAGGCCAATATAAATCGCAAGCTCGGTCACGGATGAAATTTCAAACAATACCCACCCACCCATGCATGCGCATAGATACACCATGATTTGCAAGGATTTTCTGTTAATTAATAGAATACCATTAATCATGTATGTGCAATGCATGTTAATATTAGGGAATATGTTAGTTACATTACACACTAATCTAGATGATGAACAGTCTGTTTTGCTAGTATTTGTTTAAGCACGTGCATGTCGGCGCAATGCACCCTCACAATGTCGTGTCAGGGCCATCACATACAAGGAAAATAAGCTAATGATCTTTGTTGCCTTCTGACAAGACTCCGAGAACAGGCACCCAGAGGATAGGGCGCAGCAGGAGGTCGGCCTTCCGCCGCACAGTGATGCCTAACACCTCGGCCATATCTAACTCATCCTGTGGTGGACCCTCCCAGTCAAAGTGGAATAGTAGACTCGCCAGGGCGAGCTCAATGTTGCCGAGGCCAAACGCTATCCCCGGGCACATCCTCCGGCCAGCGCCAAATGGAAGAAATGAGAAGTCGGTACCCATAAAGTCATCTGTGCCTGCCTTGCCTAGGAAGCGCTCAGGGCGGAACATCTCCGGCTCATCTGGCCAGTAGCGCTCGTCACGGCCCAACGCCCAGGCATTGATCAGCACCTGTGTTCCCCGCGGCACGTCGTACCCGAGCACTTGGCATGACTCCCGACACTCTCGTGGGATGAGTAGCGGCAAGGGCGTGTGCAACCTCAACGTTTCCCGGATGACTAGGTGCATGTACGGTAGTTCCCCGAGGGCATGCTCCGCTACGGTGCCGTGAGCCTCAAATGTTCGCCGGACCTCGGCCGTCACCTTCTGCATCACCATTGGGTTCCTGATCAACTCTGCGATCGCCCAGCCCAATGTCGTCGACGCTGTCTCACTGCCGCCGGCGAACACGTCCTGCGCTCATGCAAAACATTGTGAAGTGAGTTTTGAGATTGAGATACACTTTCCATTTTCTAATAAAGTTTTTGCCAAGTTGTAATCCACAAGTATTTCTTAAGTCTCAACCGATGCTATTTCAAAAAAAAAAAAGTCTCAACCGATGCAGAATACTATAACTTTAGTTACTAAAATCTAGAAAAGCCCAAGCTGCATTTTTTTGTACAGTAATTGCACTTTTCTTCACCGACTAAGACATAAGAACATTCGGTTGTTGAGAGATAGACGTAAGAAAATGAGGAGAAGACTATTATGCTTGTATATAAAATGATAGTATTAATAAAATAAATAATGGTAGTATTAAGAAAATTAATCCAGGATGAAAATATCGTTTACTCTCAAACTTAATTGTAACAATATACTCCCTTCGTTTCTAAATATAGGTTTTTTAGAAATTTTAATGCGGACTAAATAGGATACATCCGTACGTAGTTGTTATTGAAATCTCTAGAAAGACTTATATTTAGGATCGGAGAGAGTACATTCTTCTCAACTTAATTATGCGGTGGTGCTTTATTGTCGATCGGTAACTAGATGCAAGGAAATGAAAATCTTTTTCTGATGCTTTTCTGTCCTTTTAAAGTAATACTACCTCCGTTTCAGTTTACAAGTCCTACGCGTATACGTAGGTTGCCAATTATATCACCTTAATATAAATTATATAACACAAAAATTATACAGTTTGAAAATAAAACATCTGAAGTTTATATTGATATATTTTTTGTAATATATGACTTGTATTAGGTTGGTCAAATTGACGACCTAGGGGCACGCGCACGTCCTGTAAACTGAGAGAGAGGTAATACTCGTATATATTGAGACATAATTAAGAAAATCTAAATCAATTGAGACATACTTCTACTAGCAAAACCCAGTTAATAAGTGTGGAGTGGTACTTACGAAGATGACGGATTTGACGGCGTCCATGTCCAGTGGGAACTGGAGACTGCCCTCATTCTCCTTTTGTATGCTTAGCAGCACGTGGAGCAAGTCCTCGTTCTCGCCTCCTCCTCCACCTTCCATTTTCTCCCGGATGATGTTGTCGAGGATGCCGTTCCCGACATGGCAGAAATCCTTGGCGCGGCGCAGGGTCCCACTGAGCCAACCCACCAGCCGGGACGACGGCCACAGGTCCGGGGGGTTGAACCCCGACGCGAACTTGGCACCGCGGTCGAGCGAGCGGAGGAACTCGTCGCGTTCCTTGAACCGGTCGCCCATGACAGAGCGGACCGTGATGTCGGTGACTAGCGCGGAGATGCGCCTGCTTAGCTCCACGGGGCGTCTGGCCGCCGCGGCCTGGGCGACGTCGCGGAGCATGGCGGCGACCTCCTCCTCCCTGATGGCGCGGAAAGACAGGACGCGCCGCGCCGAGAGGAGCTTCGAGACGACGATCTTCTTGATCTCACGCCAGTAGTCGCCATAGGGCGCGAACGCAATGCCCCGCCCGCCGTTGGTGAGCACGCGCATGGTGGCGTTCAGGGGCCGCGTCGCGAACGCCACATCGTGGGTCTTCATCACCTCGCGGGCGCCCTCCCGGGACGACACCACTAGCGTGGGCACCTCGCCGAGCCAGAGCAGCATAACCGGCCCGTGGCGCCGTGCCAGGTTTCGCATCGCGCGGTGGGGCAGCTGCCCGGCGAGGTGGTGCAGGCTGCCGAGCACCGGCAGCTGCCATGGCCCCGGTGGCTCGTTCCCTGCCGAGAGCCTCCGCCTGCGCCCTGAAAGAAGCACAATACATAAGGACACGAGAGCTAGGCCGAGGTAGACGACCTCCATTTGCATCATGTAGTACATGGCAGCTCTGCTTCTAATCAAGGAAGCTAGACATGTAAGATGGAGCAATTTGCTTGCTCCGTTTGTTTTATTGAGCGCGCCGAGTCAGTCAAGATCGATCTGAGATCAGTTTGTTGCAGCTAACTACTCCTGCTATATTAATTATATAAACTACTATTATTAACTCCGGCTGAGATCAACAATTGTTTACGGCGGCTGCTAATCCCGCGCGTGGATCAGCCGGGTCGACAGCCGTTTGATGCTCCCCTAGCATCTCCACTTGGCACTCCCAACAACCCCCGGCTCTTTTTTTTAGAGTTTTCTTTATTTAACACTGTCTTAAAATTTATTGCCCTATTTAACATCGAAAAACTTTTTCTTCCTTATTTAACACCGAGTCTAAATTTTATGCCATTTATAACATTTTTGTCCATTTTAAGCCATAACGATGTTAAATGACACATGAAAAGACCTATTTGCCCTTCATGCGATATTTGACCAAAATTTTATATGTATGTGTGTATGCGGCTGACTCGTTTTGCGTTGGCCTTGGTCCCAATCTCGACCTCGACACTGATGGCGTTATAGCCGAGTGTTTTCCAGCATACAGGCACACGAAGCTAGCTCGAATACTTTCCGAGGGTTCCGTCGAGACGTAGACGACACGTACACACCAAGAAACAAGTAGGCAGGCAAGTGGATCGATTCTAGTTGGACATGTACTGCTAATACGTAATAGATGAAGTTAGTTAGCAGCCGATCTCTCGCTTGATCATTTCTGCGTTCGCTGGCTAGCTAATCAAGCTAGCAATACCCGTAAAAAAGCAAGTTAGGGATACTATCTCGGCTACAACACGAACACACACGATGCGATTGATGGCCACGGGACCATGTCGGTCCTTTTTATATTCCTTTTTCAATCTCAACTCACAGCTGTTACAAAAGGACTGGGCATATGCACATATATACTAGGCTACACCTAGCAATAGTTGTGTAAGGCGTGTACAAGCACTGGCTTTTCACAAAAAATTACAAGCACCGACTACGATTTTAACATACTGACTTTGTTGTATACTATCGATCCAGTATGTAGTGTACCATGTACTATTGATGTACACCGGCTACCCTGCTGACCTGAAGCTAAATTACCACGTAAAATTTTGGTCACCTATCATATGAGGGGCAAATATGTCTTTTCAGATGTCATTTAATATCATTAAAGCTTAAAATGGACGAAAGTGTCATAAAGGATATAAAATTTAAAGACTGCGTTAGATAGGGAAGAAAAAGTTATTAAGTGTTAAATAGGGAAACAAAATTTAAAACAGTGTTATATAAGGAATTTTCTCTTTTTTTTATGGTCGGCCGAAAAAACGGTTCAGTCACGACCAAATTTCACTGATTAGCGCAGAAATTGGTGCCGACGGACCCAGACCAAACCCGACACACTGGGGGTGCCCGGGGGCGCCGGAGAAAATGAATTTGGCACGAAAGCTGGTGGACCCGCCGAGTCAACGACACCGAGAACCTTTGTCCTCATCGCATTAGTTTCTCACGGGGAATCAATGTGAATGCCGCCGCCGGACAGCCTTCCATTAATTCACGGGCGGCGCAGTGAAGGCGCGCCGCCGCGCATCCCGCCCCCTCTCGCCACGTGTCCACACTGCTGCCGCCCACTCGCCGCTATAAAAGCTGCCCTCCCTCGCCGCTGGCCGCACACTCGCCTCCCCCACAGCCTCTCTCCTTCGCCGCAGACGCCCCTCTCTCCTTCACCGCCGACGCCTTCTCTCTCTTCCCGTCTCTATGGCCAAGCGTTTTCCCAGCGATGGTGCGGCAGCTAACGGCTTCGGCCGCCGCCACTTGCACGCGTGGGAGGCGCGCTTCCTCCACGAGGTGGACTACCCAGCGTCGCCCGACATGCGCGTGTCGGGCTCATGGAGGCTCAGCGCCGCCGGCGCCCCCGTGCCACCGCCGCGCCGAGATCGCGCGGATCCGGTCAGCGCCGCCGAAGGAAGCGCGACAGCAAGCCAGGTACGCCCCTAACAGCACCAACCTCTGGATGGCCTACTTCGAGCGTCGCCAGGCCGACCAGCTCGCGTCGACGATCGGTGCTCTGGCACAACTCGGACGGCCGCCGCCAGTGGTGGGGAGTCCCCAGGCGCACTCTCCACACGGTCCTCGAGCACATTGAGGGTGGCAAACGCGCCGCGAATGGAGTACCCGACGCCGTCCTTCTCACGCCGGAGCGGCGGCTCGTGGCTACCGAGGCGCATGGCGGGCGCGTCGTCTTCTTCCTCCAACTCTCACCTCCTCCGGTGCACCGACGCCGCTCGCGCCGTCAAGGGCGAGCCCCAAGAGACGCCGGAGCGCTGACGCAGCGGCAACCTCATCATAAACGAGGGCCGCCGCCACAAACCTTCCCCTCCTCCCCGCAGCCATCTTCGCCTAGTCAAGCCAAAGAAGGAGCCAGCGACGCCGCCAGTCGCCAAGCAGGAGCACCTCGACATGGCCGCCAACCTCGAGACCGGCCTGAAGTGGGCGCTGGACGACTACGTTCGAGAGGAGATGGAGCATCAGTGCCGCGCCCTTGAGGAGATTGCCTCTCGGCGCCGCGGCCGCGACGAGGAGGCGCCCGGGCCGTCCAACCCCGTCCGCCGTGGCTACCCTGGGCAGGGCTGCAGCAAGGACAGCGATGGTGTGCAGGATGACGGCGACTACAACGGCATGGACTACACCAACTTCAACAGGCTCCTCGACATGTAGAAGGCTCGGGGCGGCGGCGGCATAGTAGTTGTAGTTTTAGTTTAGTTTCTAAATTATATTTTAAGTTTGTACAAATATCAATGGAACGCCTAAATTTTCTTCAAATTTGTGTCATTTTGTACGAAGTTTAGCCAAATTTAGTTTTCAAAAATCGGCTTCTAGGGCCAGCTTGGGGCGGCGGTTGGAAATCCAACCGCCCCATGATGGAAAAAGCGCCGGCTGGCCCCCAGGAGACACTATTTCATTCCCTAGGGGCGCCGAACAGCTGAAATGCTCTCAGCCGTCAGATATGTTAGCAGTAGACGCGTTCCTCTCATAAAGAGCTGGCTTCGAGCATAGATGACTATCGTGCTCGATGCGTTGCTCGGAGACAGGGAGTAGATGGAGCCCACCACTACCCATCGATTCCTTCTTGTTTTTTATGCGACCGATCACTTTCTATATTCTCTTTTATGGGACACGTTCCTTTTTTTGCGGGATAATACTTGTACTACTCAACTCTCAAAGATTACAATCACGGCTGGCAATTTCGAGGAGTTCATCCGGACCCGAACCAAGCCACACAAACGGTTCAGCATTGTGATCGTCCAAAACTTGCCAGGAAGTGACTAGCATTGTTTTTTCTACGAGCAATATGTGTAATACAAGAATTACGCTCGATCAAACTATCTTTGATCTCCTTTATTAAAAAGACATATTTAGATCCATTATCATCTCCCCATCTTCACTGCTTCTAAACTGTCCGATTCAACATCAATAGGTAGATTGCTTCATTGCAAAGCGAGTAAGAGGCCCTCTCGAATGCCCAAAATCTCAGTTTCAAGCACGTCATCACAAGAAAAAAGATATCCACATGAGCTGAATATGATGTTGCCACTGTGCTCCCTAAGGATCATACCTGCTCCTGCAACTAAAGGAAATATACCCTAGAGGCAATAATAAAGTTGTTATTTTATATTTGGTTATTCATGATAAAGGTTTATTCTTCATGCTAGAATTGTATTGATAGGAAACCTAAATACATGTGTGGATACATAAACAAATACCATGTCTAGTGAGCATCTACTAGAATAGCTCGTTGATCAAAGATGGTTAAGGTTTCCTAACCATAGATATGTGTTGTCATTTGATAATGGGATCACAAAGATGTGATGGGCAAGACCCATCCGTTAGCTTAGCATAATGGTTGTTCAGTTTTATTGCTATTGCTTTCTTCATGTCAAATACATACTCCTTCGATTATGAGATTATGCAACTCCCGGATATCGAAGGAATGCCTTGTGTGCTATCAAACGTCACAATGTAATTGGGTGATTATAAAGATGCTCTATAGGCATCTCCGAAGGTGTTTGTTGAGTTGGCATAGATCGAGATTAAGATTTGTCACTTCGAGTATCGAAGATGTATCTCTGGGCCCTCTCGGTAATGCGCATCATAAGGTTGCAAACAAACGACTAAGGAGTTAGCCATGAGGTGATGTATTATGAAACGAGTAAAGAGACTTGCCGATAACGAGATTGAACTAGGTATTAAGATACCTGCGATCGAATCTCGGGTAAGTAACATACCGATAGACAAAGGGAATTACGTATGTTGTCATAACGGTTCGACCGATAAAGATCTTCGTAGAATATGTAGGATCTAATATGGGCATCCAGATTACGCTATTCGTTATTGACCGGAGAGGTGTCTCGGTCATGTCTACATAGTTCTCGAACCCCTAGGGTCCGCACGTTTAGCGTTCGTTGGTGGTATAGTATTATATGAGTTATGTATGTTGGTGACTGAATGTTGTTCGGAGTCCAGGATGAGATCATGGACATGACAAGGAGCTCCGGAATGGTCCAGAGATAAATATTGATATATAGGATGATATGGTTAGGCCAAGGGGTAAGTCCCAAGGGGTTTTAAGTCGGTGCAAAAGGAGTTTTGCGGAGGCCAGGGGGCCAAACGCCAGAGACCCTGGCGTCTGGATCTGAGCCAGACATCGAGGCCCATGGCATCTAGGCCAGACGCCAAGGACTATGGCGTTTGGTCCTGGAAGTCCAAGAATGACTCTTCCTTTCGGGTAAAACCGACTTTGAGGAGGCTCTTTCTCCAAGTTACGACCCCGGGGCTCAACATGTAAATAGAGGGGCAGGGCTAGCACCTGGGACACATCAAGATACACCAAGTAGTGTGCCGGCAACCCCTCCCCTCTAGTTTATCCCCCGTCATAGTCTCCGTTGTGCTTGGCGAAGCCCTGCGGAGATTATTCT